AAGAAGGAGTAGCCAAGGACTGCTGCCACCCAGAAGGATTTTCTTATGGGGTAGACAGTGCCCCTCTTCTGGCACAAGTGTTTGATACACAATTAATATGCCATGTCCCATAGAGAGCGTCTGGGTGGGTCCTGCCATGTGGGAGATCGGGATTGAGTCCCTTGCTCCCAACTTTGATCTGGCCCAGCCTCAGCTACTGCCAACATTTGGGGAAAGAACCAGCAGGTAGGAGCTACACATCTCTCCTCTCTCTCTCTCTGCATCTCAAATAAACTTTTTTTTAATGTGATGCAATTCCAGATAGCCAGATAGCCCCCCATGCCAAATTACACACCTAACTTGGCAAACAACTCAGGCTCAGCTTTGGTCTTTGCTTGCCCCCTTAGCTTGATAGCCCTGTGCAGGCTCCTCCTGTAGGCATCCGCTGAACTTCTGGAGGGAGATAGGCAATTAGGAGGCCAAGCATAAGCTCTGTGCATGGCATGGCTACCCTAACACATAGGACATCTGTAGAAAGTGATGGATGGGGACAGACAATTTTGATGAACAGCCAGTTATGACCCTGGGAAAGTTTCCTTTTAATTCTTTCTTTATTTGCAAAAACAGAGTGACAAAGAAGGAGAAATACAGACCTTCCATCTGCTGATTTGTTCTGCAAACGACCGCAATGGCCAGGGCTGATCTAGACTGAAACCAGGAACCTGAAATGCCCACATGGGTGGCAGGATTTCAAGTACATGGGCCATCTTCTCAGGGAGCTTGATCGGAGGTGGTGTTGTCCCAGGGTCCAGGGCATCAAGGGGACAGCACAGACTGCAACTTAATCCTCTGTGCCACAACACAGACCTGTTATTTCTTTTTGCAAGCTTCATTTTCTTCCTGTGTTTCATGGAGATGAGAAAAGTACCCATCTCACTGGGGTGCTGTGGGAAGCACACACGACAGTGCATGTACAGCACTTAACTGAAATACACATTCAACATGATAGCTCTTTTTAAAAAAAGACTTATTCATTCCTATTGGGAAGGCAGTTTTTTACAGAGTAAAAGAGATGTATTACAGAAATCTCTTGCTGGTTAACTCCCCAAATGGCTACAATGGCCACAGCTCAGCTGGTCTGAAACCAAGAGCCAGGAGATTCTTGGCTACCCAATGTGCAGAGTTCCAAGGCCATCCTTGTCAGCTTTCCCAGGTTATAAGCAGGGTGCTGGATGGGAAGAGGAGCAGCTGGGACACAACCCACTTTTATATGGGCTTGCCTCAGGTGAAGTATTAGCTTACTACACTCCTGAACCAACCCCACCATGTGAACTCTTAGTGTACTTACCATTACTTACAAGAAGTAAACCCTGTCAGACAGAGCCTGTCACTCTCATTTAATCTCCAAAGTCACTTTCTGCCTTCTCAGTCAGCTCTGCCTTCCCACTCCACTCCACCTTCTGTAGCCGCTTTCCTTCCCTTGCCTTCTTTCTTGGAAAGAAAGGTTTCTACACCCAAAACTTTTGCCCATTGCTTCCCAGGAACTCCCAGGCAGTGGTAGAAGTGAGGAAACTGATCAGGGACATACTTAGCACGAGTGGCCTCACCTGCTGAGTGGTAGGATCCTGGCAAGTTGTTAGCAGCTCATGGCAGCTAGCAGAATAACTTTAAAATTGTGACAGGAGGAAGTAAGACCCTGGTCAGTCTAGGGAGTGACCAAGCTGGGAGAGAAGGAGGAGGTTGGGACCAGGTGGGGAAAGATGAGCTGTCTGCGTGAGGCATGTGTTGTCACGAACATTCAGGACATGTGAATAAGGAAGGAGAAGCAAGGAAAGTGCATTGGCAGCCACCGTGCATATAAGTCTGTACCCAAGGTACCACTTTGGGGAGGTCTTCTGTAAAATCCCACCTCCCACCAGCAAGCAGCTCCAGGTGCCATGCCCTAGCTCCTTATCTTGCTTTATTCTTCTTTGTGGCAGCCAGTGTTAGCTAAAAATTAAGTATTGTTTGGTATTTTTTACCAGTGCACTGCTCTCCTCCAGTGGACTGCTGCATATATTACTACCTGTTTAGCATCTAGAACAATGAGCGGCACATGAAAAGTCTTCCATCACTGACTGTGGAATGTAAGAATGGATGCTCACCATCATCATTCGTCACTGAGTGAATCATCACCAAGTCCAGGCTGCCTTCAAGGGATAAAACAGGCACCTTTGGGTCCAGCAGAGCGTCCTGGGGCTTTATATCTCTTTGGAGGGTGTCAGTGTATCCCCTTTGAGGTGACATGGGCTCAGTTGTTGGGGAAGGATGCTGCTTTCTGTCCAATTCCAAGGCTAGGGTCCTTTGTGTACGCAGATCGACTGGCAGTTCTCTCTGTGCTGATTGGTTGTAAGTCAGGCTCATACAGCTAGCAAAGGAGACCCCTCAGTGTTCAAGAGTTAAAAGTTGACTTTACTTCCTGGACATGAGAGTAGAGCCAATTTTTCTGTCATACTATCTGTCATATAGTACAGAAGTGCTATGAAAACAAGAAATTGTCATCTCTCCTCACTTCCCAGGGGTGAGGAGCCCTCCAGACACACAGTGTCCAAGACACAGGTGTCTGTAGGTTGAGAGTAACCGCTGCTGTGGTGGTCGAGATGTTGGCCTGACACAAGGACAAGGGAGGTGAAATATTTTTTCTCTCATGTCCTAAGGAATATTTTTTTCTCCACACCTCCAGGTAAAGGGTATGAAGTTCGACCTGCTGGGTAACTATGACTCTATGGGATGCCCGGATGAATAAGGAAAAATACTTGCAATCCAGGAGACATTCTATATACATAAAACCAAGTACCCACACGATTGCATTTACTTGAAACCCAGACTTTGGTTTAAAACAGATTAATGGATTTTAATACCCTGTATATGTTTTGCAGTTTTAAAGTTATTTACATCTTCTGCTGGTAGGCAGAACAGTTAGCATTTTTATAAGTAGCCATAGGTTTCTCTAGCTGTCAGTCCTCCTGTCTCAAGTTCAACCTGGGCTCGTTTTGTTGTTTCGCTTTCAGGTGTTATGTCCTGAATCTATGCACTGATTAAATATTTGAGTGTCTTTACAGTAGCCAACTGCTTATCTTAATAAAGGACTTTAGGATTGAGAGCTGTCATATCTGAGGTCTCCTCCTTGCCTTTAGGTAGTTGTGAGGCTTCATACAGGTCACTTCTTGCGCCCCTGTCTTGAAGAGGCTCAGTTAGACAGTTGCTAAGTTCCCTTTCAGAGCCGAAGAATCTATGATTCAAGTAAGAATGGCATGATATATGTCCCCAACATACATGAGACCACTGTTTACAGGCTGACCCATGTCTAAATACAGGAACAGCATCAATTAGCCCAATTCACAAATATGTTTATGTTAGGATTTAATTTTTGTTTTGCTTTACTCTTTCCTTTGTAAGGAATTGAGTCCATAAATACGTTTCACACTTGGCCTGCATGTCCATCATTTTTAGAGAGCAGGTTTAAAGTCAAGACAAGGAATTCATTCAATACTTTTATTTATATGCAAAACAGCGCACCATTCATGAGATATGAAAAACTTGTTAGATAGAAACCAGATTATATCTATTTTTCACTACAAAATATTGCATTATATAAAGCAACAGAGACACAAAAAAACCCTGAAAACACTAAAATCTTTGGATAGCAGATGTGTTTTTTTTTTTTCCTTGTCTCTAAAACACACTCCTTGCTTTAAGAGTTTCACAGCTGAGAACATGAACTAGTATCAGGTTATAGACTTTGCTTTTTGGTTGTCACAGAGGAAAGTAGTTCTGATTTATTTTTTAGGAAAATAACTTGATTTCCTAAAATCATTCCACGCACAAACATCTCACACATACACACGCACACATACACACACACAAAGAAACTACTCTCCTTATAAATGGTTTAAAGTACTTTTCAGACAGAACTACGAATAACAACACTTACTTTTTAAAAAACTGTAGTAGTGAAGTGCTAGTGTTGCTGACCTCACAACAGAAAAAGGAACCTTCCAAGAACAAACATCTTAATAGAGAAAATATGTTTAGAAACGGGGGGAAGTGGGGGATGTGTTATACAAGTGCAATATAATCAGAGCAGAAAGAAAAGACCACGGAGTAATCTGAACAAACACATAAAAAGTTCGACATAATTATTCCACAGGAAATAGTGTAAACACTCGACTATAAATAACTTGGCACAGAGTATCCAAAGTAAAATTATCACCACTCTGAAAAATAAACGTCTTGAAAAAAATACTCTACTCTTCTAACATAAATAAAAATAGGTTGTCTTTTTCTAACTGCACCTATGGGTCCACATATTTAAGGTCACAAATAGACGTTTTTGGATATATAAAGGGGCACTTCGCCTGAAAAAGCAATTAAGATTTCATTTAAATATGGGTGTTCCTGTCCACAATAGTGTTCTATGTGGGTTGAAAACCTTACCCAGCTCAGAGCCTTCCACAACGAGTTTGTTCTCGGTGTATCATTTTTTTTTTTTATCCTTACCGAATATTCAGGGTGGATTCTATTTGGACGTTAACATAATCTTACTTTTCACAGCGGGGCTCAAAGTTTCCTCCTGCAACCCTTCTGTGCCTGAATCTCCCTATACAGAGATTCCCTCCTTCCCCAAAAGGGGTGATTTGTCGTTTAGAAAAAAACGTCGCACAGCTTCTCACAGTCTCCATCCACCAGGTTAAAGCAACAAGCCTTTTAGGCCTGCAACACTCGGACGGGACTCGCCAGAGCTTCTCCCAGCCCCGGAGGTCTTTCCCCACCTAAGGCTCTGCAGCCGGCCGGACCGCTGGGCCCCGCAGAAGGCTATCCCTAGCCGCCCGCTGAGCCCCGGGAGAACAGGTGGCGGCCACCTTTTTCCTCCATCCAAGTCTGTCGCGCCCGCCGCCCCGCTGGATCGCCGTCTCCGTCACCTCCCCGGGGGCCGCCTCGGGACGTGGAGACAGGCGGCCTCCCTCCCTGGCCCCCCGGCCCTACACGTCCAGGACGTGGTTGAGATAAGAGATGTAGCAGATGGCCAGACGCAGGATCTCTATCTTGGAGAGCTTCTTGTCCGGGGGCAGCGTGGGCAGCAGCTTGCGCAGCTCGGCGAAGGCCAGGTTGAAGGCCTCCACGCGGATGCGCTCGCGGGTGGCGTGGGCCGAGCGGTACTTGGCCGTGGCGCGCCGCCGGCGACGCTTCTCCTCGCGGCTCAGCTGCTGCGGGTGCGGGTAGAGTGCGGCTCGGCTGCCGCCCTTGCCTTCGCCCTCGACCTCCTCCACCGGCTCCAGATCCGATACGCTGCCCAGCACCTTGGCGTCCGCACCGCCAAGCGACTCCGGGTCCGAGTGCGCCGAGCTGGGGTGGTCCGAGTCGGCGGCTTGGTCCGGACTCAGCATCATTTTGGAGGCTGAGGGGAAGTCAGAGAATCAATCGGTGAAAGGAATCGAAGAAAGGGGATGGGAGCTCTTCCTTGACGTGGGGCGGTGGGCAAGAGCCCACAGCGACAGACTGCAGTCCGCGCGCATCCAGGCATCCTCCGCGCCCCTCCATCCCCCGTACCGCAGCGGCCGATGGCGCCTAAGCCTGACCTCGGCCGCATCCCGCCCCGACCCCCCTGCCTGTTCCTGAGCCTGGCGGACGGCGTGAGAGCCGCTGCTGCGTGTTTGTGTGCCTTCTGCAGCTGATTAACAGATGCGCTGTCCTCGATCCGTCCTCTTCCCGAGCAAACGAAGCATCCCCAACGACCCACTCGGGAGCGAGGAGACGCCGACTGTAGGCTTTGCGCCCCGAGGGCCTCAGGCGAAGCTGCCCGGGGGCCACGGGGCGCAGGCACTGGGCTACACGGAGCGCAAGCGGCGAGCCCGAGGTTTCCCCGAAATTCAAAATCCTAAAGAACGACCAGACTCGCGGAGGAGCCTTTCAAAGGAAAATTGACTCCTGCGCCCTTGCAGGCTCCCGGAGCACCATCTGTCACGCAGACGGCCGCACACTTAAGGGACCTGGGGATGCGGCGGCGTGGGCTAAGACAATGCCCAGCAGCCTGTCTACCGCCTTGCGGGGGGGAGGAAAGACTGGCGCTGGGAGCTGCGGTGGAGGATGGCGCGGGAGGGCAAAGGACACAAAGGGCGGTGGCCGGGAGATCCGGGCACGGGCGGAGGCTGAGTCCGTGGAGTTGCTCGGGCGCTGCCCAGCACAAGCGGCTGCTCCCGGGCAAGCCAGACGGAGGCCAAGCGTGTGCGCCTCCACGGTTCCCGAAGATCCTGCAGAGAAGCCGACCGTCTGCCCGCTTTCTCACGGGCGCCTGGACGGCCGGCTCCCCCTACTCGCGCCTTGCTGGGAAATGCTGGGCTGCGAAGCCTTAGGACTGCTAGTAGGGGCGGGCGGTAAAGGCAGAGTAAAGGCCTCTGGGCCGGAGGCGCGCATCGCCCGCGGGATCCCGGGCTCTCCACTCCAGGCAGACGCAGCAACCTGCGTGGGCGAGGTGTCGGAGGGCTTTGCTAGTCACGAAACAAAAGCCAGGGATTGTGCGATCGCAGCCTTCAGCCTTGTGCAGGTGGAGACGGGGGTGGGGGTGGGGGGCTGGTTCTTTAAGGCAAAATAACAACAAACTGTCCAAGCCAACTGCTTGAGACTCCCTGCGGGCTCTTCTCCAGTAAGGTCTTTAAGTAGAACAACTTGCACCACGCAGTCGGCTTGCGGGGACGAAAATAAACGAGCCAGTGGTGGAATATCAAAATAAGCCAGGATGTATTTGTGGTTGGGGCGGGAAGTTCCTGGCTGCCCTCCAAGCACGTTACAATCTCCTCCAAACATTATGTATATATATTCATCAATAGCCCGCAGCGTGTGCACCGTATTGTTTTAGCTAAGGACTGACAAGCAACTATCAGTGCGGTCTGAATACGCCGACAGAGTTTCAAGCCCCAAGGAATGATTTAAAGGAGTTCTTACCTTGCAAAAGCCTTTTCGATAATCTGGTCTCCAATCTTTCAAATTCCAGAAAGGTGAAATACTGGGAAAATGTTAAAAGCAGCAACTGTTTCTTACATTCACAAATGAAAAAGCAGCTGTCATCTCGCCGGTGCCCAAAGCGAGGGTCGATAATATCTCGGGATGTGAACGAGAAGAAGCGATTGTCCACTGATTTCGCTGGTGAAAAATGCCTTTTCCTTTTAATTGTTAGTAGACATTTCCAGAGATTCGTTGTCGGCTTTTTAAAATGATGTGTTGAAAAGTCGCGGGCCCTCTTTCCCTCCTCTTCCAGGTCTCTATAAATAACAAAAGAGATGCAGAGATAAACAAGATTGCATCAAAGGGCTGATTCCTCCACTTTCTAACAGCGGAATAATCAATAGCAGCGATGGTTAAGATCGGATTCCGCTCCTGGAGGACTCCTTCCCCTTAGCGCAGCTGAACAGAAAGTGGGAAGCGCAGAGCACAGATGTAATCTTGCTCAGAAGTGATTTTTTTTTTTTTTTTTTAGATAAGGCTTTGTTCAGCTGATATCTCCCAGTTCCTCGGGAACACAACACTGTACATCGGAGCTGGGGCTGTCTTTTCTGCTTCCCCTCCAATTACTTGAAGGTTGCATAAACAGATACCCATTTGCCAGTTTCGAAGTCTTTTCAAGGCTTGCTGGCAGCTCCCACAGCCTCCCCCTCCTCCTTTTACCTTGTAGAAAAATCTATATAGCCAGAGGATTGGAGAAAGGTTGGTGAAAGTGAACGTCTCCTGGAGGAACAGTGAGAAGCAAGCAGAGAATGAGGGAAGGAGGGTAGGAGAGCCAGGGCAAGCAGGCAGGGATGCGCGCTCACTTCCTGGCTCTTCTGCTACCAATTGATTCAGCCTGGAGATGGTGGAAGAGATAAAGGCTTAAGAAGGGGGATGGAATTTTTCCCCCTAAATTGATATTTAATGGGAAATCCTATTGGACAGAAACCTGGACATGAGTCACTTAATTGGACTTGACATCTGTCACAGTGTGGGAGTTTTCACAGCCCAAATATTTTAGCAGATCAGATTCCCACTGAATCTGTGCCATAAAATATAACAGTTGAGAGCAAGCAATGTTCGAAACCTTAGCTTCTAAACAGACTCTCTAGCCGTAAGCAGGCTATGCCTCTTTCTCATATTATTGATGCAGCGTTTAAGCAAAAATAAATTATGCATACTGACTATGGAAAAAAAAATCCCATGGCGTATTACAAAATCAGCACCCATTCCTTAATGTTTAGGAAATTATTTGTGTCCAGAACATGGAAATAAATACCATTTAAGATGCTACAGTGAGTGTAAAGTGTTCAAATAGGAAAGGGTTGATGTTTATTAGAGACAATTTACTTTTAGAAGATACTGAAAGAAACATTGATTAAGTGTATTAATATTTTTGAGACATTTCTTACTGTGAGACCTACTTATCCACAGATGATAAAAAACCTCTTAATAGGATAAGTTAAGTCATTGGATCTAGGGACAGAATCTAGCTATTGTTCTGAATATGTTTGTTTTCCTCCTCGCCAACTCATTCATTGAAGTTAAAATAGGACACGCCATGTGTGTAGAATATTTGCTTCATTCTTGCTCATCTTAACATGTAAATGCATTTAGTGAAGTGGGCTGGGATGGAAATAATTCACAGATAACAAGCATATTTCAGCTCATTATGCCTTTGCCTTTGGTGACCCCACAGTCCTGTATGCCTTGTACCAGGGGGGACAGTTCAGTGCCACTGTATAGAGATACTGTTAGTCCCCATCAATTGTATATTATTTGTGATGATTTTGAACTTTGCCATTATTCAGACAAATGGAATAAAAGAATATTCTTTCTTAAGATGTATTTCATTTTTATTGCAAACTCAAGTACGCAGAGAGGAGGAGAAACAGAGAGGAATATCTTCTGTCCGATGATTCACTCACCAAGTGACTGCAATGGCAGGAGCTGCACCAATCTGAAGCCAGGAACCAGGAACTTCCAGGTCTCCGACATGGGTGCAAGATCCCCAGGTATGGGGCCATCCTTGACTGCTTTCCCAGGCCACAGACAGGGAGCTGGATGGGAAGCAGAGCTGCTGGGATTAGAACCGGCACCCATATGGGTTCCCAGCATGTTTAAAGTGAGGACTTTAGCCGTTAGGCTACCATACCAGGCCTGGAATAAAAGAATATTCTAGCCATACTCCCCACCTCCCCAGTCTGGTGGGAAACATTAGTGGAAAGATGGAGCCTCACCTTACCTCCTTCCAATTTTGCCCAAAATACAAGGGAGAAGGATAAGGTGGTTTCCTTCTGGCTGCCACAAATCCTGCTTGCCTTTGGATGACTTTTTCTTCCTCGGGGAGATTCCTAGGAGAGAGGAGGCTATGCCTCCAAAGAATATCAGACCATCACTTCTCCACATGGACATTGCCAGCTCCCACAAAGCCCTGGATGGTAAACATCCCCAGGACATGGAAATGGAGATAGCAGCCGGCCTCACGCAGGTGGCCACAGGAGAAGGTGAGTGGACAAACTGCCCAAGATGGTGAAGGTAAAAGAAGAAGGGAGGTTTTCCCAATCTGGTGGGGAGCAGCCAACACCAGGCATTCATGCACAACTGGAAGTGTGTACACATACATGCACTGCAGGCACTCCTACCTTCCATCTCTCATACAAGCTGGTTTGCTCTCTTAGACCACTGCACTTTCAGAAGGCCAAGTCCAAAGACCAGAGGAGACCTACTCTCGTGGCTCTAGGCTGGGCAGCAGCAGAGTGAGAAGGGCAGGTGTCTCTGGCTGTTCTGGTGATGAGGGGAGGTTTGGGATAGGAAGGTGCATATAAAAAAATCCATTCTATTTGACATGTGTGTGAGCAGACAAATTATTTCTCATGTTCTGGCTTACGCATTCCACAACAACAGCAGTGTGTTCATAAATTAAGACTTAATATGAGTAAGGCTGTGTCAACATGTTGACATTCAGATTCATGGAGACTGCATCATACACAAACTCGGATTTTCACCCACACATGTGCATTCTCTCAGGAAACCTTCCTCTCCTCCTGCCTTGAGCCTTCCCTAAGACCTCCTTGGCACAGTGGCTGTGCTCCCTAAGTCCTCCTTGGGGGTCCTCTTAGAGAGTACATGATCTATGCTGCGAATCCACACCTGCTTCTCTTCCAGCAGGAAACTGTGGTCTGTATCCCCAGAACCCGGATGTGCCTGACCTTGATGCATTGTACAGAGCCAGCTCATCTGTGGGGAATGACTCCCTGTGAACGGAGGTTCCAGGATATTTGTAACAAAGAAGCACTTTCATCAAAAGATACTCTCCCTTCCAAGTGTATGTATTTATTTTCCTGTGAAAGTGGGGTTAATTGCCTGGTCCCTTTCTACAGGTTTGTGATGAGACTCAGCATATGTGAAAAGATTTGATGAAATACTAAGCACCATACAAATAAGGACATTGTGGAATACAGGAGTGATATTAAATGCATTATCAAGTCAGTGGGGAGATTATAAGCAGTGATGTAAAAAGCCGTACTTCCTTGTTCTGTAGTGTCTTAGCTATGTGAACATGTGCCAGTTGGAACTTACTTTCTAGAATTCAGTTTTTAAAAAATTATTCTTTTTTTTAACATTTATTTTTATTTTTTTTTATTGGAAAGGCGGATATACAGAGAGGAGAGACAGAGAGGAAGATCTTCCATCCAATGATTCACTCCCCAAGTGAGCGCAACAGGCCGATGCCATGCCAATCCGAAGCCAGGAGCCTCTTCCGGGTCTCCCACGCGGGTGCAGGGTCCCAAAGCTTTGGGCCATCCTCGACTGCTTTCCCGGGTCACAGGCAGGGAGCTGGAAGGGAAGCGGGGCTGCTGGGATAGAACTGGCGTCCATATGGGATCCTGGGCATGCAAGGCGATGACCTTAACCACTGCGCCACCGTGCAGGGCCCTAAAAATTATTCTTTATTATTGTTTTGTGATACAGTTTCATAGGTTTTGGAATTTCCCATCCCCCTCTCCTGAAACTCAATTTTCTAATCTGTAAAATGGGAACAGCCAAGTAAGATATATGGTGATATGTTCTTATATTTACCGTGTATTGATTTGTTCAAAGATGAGCAAGATAATGTATGTAAAATGCTGAAACTAATGCCTAGAATTTGTGCTCAGTGCATTGTTGACCATATTGCTATTATGCCATTATGGTATTTATCTTGATATTGTTATTCTTCAACATAAGCACATACTGAGAATCAAGTACATTTACATAGAATGTGTCCAGATACACATGGTGAGAGTGTGCATATGTGTGTGTATGTGGGTGTGTGTTTGTATGCTGTTAACCTACAGTGAGCAAATGTCATGTGTTAGACAACAGGTATAAGGATTTTGTACATTAGTCATTTTGTCTTCACCACCAATCTATAAGGCAGGGACTGTCGTCCCAATTTCACACATGAGAAAATGGGACACAGAAAATATAACAATCTATTCAAGGTCACATAGCTAATAAATTATGGGGCCAGAATTTAGACTCAGGTGGTCTAAATTCAGAAAGTACACTGTCAACCGCTGCGTTTTACTGCCTCTGTGCTCATTGGCTCCCACACAAATAGAGTCATGCAGAAGAATTATTTGCTAAGGAAATGGGAAATAGGCATACACACAGAACACAGATAAATTATTACCTTTGCAGGCAAGGGTGATCAGGGAGTCAGTATATTTACATGATGCTATAGCATGGATATTCCTCAAAACACGTGGAGTGAAGGAAGCAGATGCGGAAGATCACATATGGGATGATTTTATTCATTGGAAAGGTCAAGAATAGCCAAATCTGTGGAGTCCAAGTAGTCTTGGTGGCTGCACAGGACTGAGGGAGTGCCTGCCAATAAACTCAGGGTTTCTTTTGGGAGATGTCAGACTGTTCCAAAGTGGGATTTGGATGATGACTTCATAACTCCATAAATAGGCTGAAAACATTGAGTTGTATACTCTAATTGTGGTGTATTAATTATGTCTCAAGAAAGCTGTCAGAAACTCTAGAAGACTGAACATATAATTTCATAAACTATTTATTACATTTGTATGACTGTTTACTCTTATAAATATTTTTCTTGCTTTGTCAGTGATTACAGTGATGATCTGTTTATTTTCTTTCTCCTATTTTGGAGTGACAGTACAGGAGACTATCTTCCTCAAAGAGACAACTGCTAGTGTGACCTTGAAAACCCACCATCTACGTAACCTGGACAGGTGTGAGAGTATAACCGGAGTGCAGAGCTAGACAATGGCCCTGTTAGTTCTTTCTGTACTTGTCTCTGTTCTACTCCTTGTGTAGCTGAATTGACTGCTGCACATGGATACCCATTCCCAAGTTTTTAAAAGATCTGAGTAGAATTCCAATTTATTTATTGCAGCAAATAATAAGCTATTAATAAAGTTACAAAAATAAAACCTTTTTTGAGACAAAAATGTTTA